CTTCTGGATGAGCATCCTCTAACCAGCCACGCGGACTCCTGTGGGGAAGGCTTAGCAAAGATGCAGGTTGGGAAGGGCTTGAGTACCAGGTTCTTTTGCCCTTTGCTGTCATTCTAGATGGAGAGGGAGCAAATACTGCAGGTCTTTTCAGCTCGAATGGGGTGGGCAGTCAGAAGTTTGTCCAGAGCAACAAAAACCTGGGAAAGCTACAAGGTTATGTTTGGCCAAAGCTGTTGGCAGTTATGTACCTCCTCACACTCATATGCAAAACAGGCTGTCTTTTTTTTTCATGATAAATAGCTTATTTTAGATCTAAAGAAAAAAACCCCCATAAATATAGTTTCTTTCTGTGGCAGAGCTGGGCCAGAAGCCACATGTTCAGCTTACAAATCAGGAGATACCTTACAATAACTCTCTGGTTCTTTTTAAGATGCCTTCTGGTGTCAGAGCTTCAAAGTAGTCATGCTTTTCTCCCAATCAGAAAGCCTGGGAACTCTTTAAGTAGTGTTCTGGGATTCCTGCAGGAACACATGGCTCCCGGACCTGCTGCTTCAGTGAAAGCACTGTGCATTTTGAGGCATAGAATTATAGAATCGAAGGACTGGAAGGGACCTGTAAGATCATCAAGTCCAGTCCCCTGCCATGGGCAGGAGATTATTTGGCTCAAGTGAGCTCAGTGAAATGCTTGTCCAGCCTCCTCTTGAGCACCTCTAAGGATGGAGATTGCACCATACCTGCTGGAAATGTGTTCCTTATTTTAGATACCCTTACGGAAAATAAGTTTTTCCTAATGTCCAACCTAAATCTTTCCTCAATTAGCTTGTGCCTGTTGATCCTCATCCTCCCTGGAGGTACCTTACTGAAGAGTTGCTCCCCTAGATCTTGGTGTTTACCCTTGACATACTTGTAGGCGGCTATCAAGTCACCTCTTGGTCTTCTCTTGCTCAGACTAAACAAACCCAGTTCCCAGAGTCTCTCATAGGGCCTATCCTCCAGGCCCCTGATCATCTGGGTGGCCCTTCTCTGCACCCTTTCAAGTTTATCTGCATCCTTCCTGAAGTGCAGTGCCCAGAACTGGACACAGTACTCCAGGTGTGGCCTCACCAATGCCGAATAGAGGGGGAGGAGCACCTCTCTGGATCTGTTCACAACATATCTGCTGATACACACCAGAGTCCTATTTGCCCTGCCGGCAGCTTCATCGCACCGTTGGCTCATATTCATCTTCTGGTCAATTGTCACCCCCAGGTCCCTCTTAGATACAGTCCCAGACAGTGGACCACCACCGATTGTATAGATATGGTGAAGGTTCTTCCTACCTAGATGAAGGACCCAGCACTTGTCCCTATTGAACCTCATCTAATTGTGTTCAGCCCATAGAACTAGTCTGTTGAGGTTGTCTTGGATCCTTACCCTATCCTCAGATGTGTCCACATTTCTCCACAGCTTGGTGTCGTCCACAAACTTAATCATTGCACTTTCCACTTCTTCATCCAAGTCATTGATAAAGATTTTAAGAGGACAGGCCCAAGTCCTGATCCCTGGGGGACACCACTGGTGATGGCCCTACAGGATGAGGCCATCCCATCGATTACAACCCTCTGGGATTGGCCTCTGAGCTGGTTGCCAACCCACCTCACTGTAGACTGGTGTAGGCCAGTACTCTCCAGCTTAATTGAAAGGATTTCATGGGAAATGGTATCAAAGGCCTTGCTGAAGTCTAGGTAAATTATGTCAACCTCATGCCCCTTGTCCAGCTGATTAGTTACCAGATCATAAAAGGGCACCAGGTTTGTTAGGCATGACCTGCCCTTGACAGAGCTGTGCTGGTTGCTTCTTAATACCCCACCAGTTACAGGCTTGTGGTTGATGGCCTCCTTGACAGTGTTTTCAAAGATTGTGCCCAGGACCAAGGTTAGACTGACCAGTCTGTAGTTTGCAGAATCGTCCCTTTTCCCTTTCTTAACGATGTGTACTATATAGCTCTCTTCCAGTTGGTCAGGGCTACTCCCGAGTTCCATGACTCTTTGAACAGCTTTGCCAGATGCCCTGCTGTGAGCTCAGCCAGTTCTTTAAGGACTCTTGGATGCAGATCATCTCTCCCAGAAGACTTGAACATGTCCAGATGTTCTAAGAGTACCCTCATCTGTTCGGGACTGATTTCATGTGGGCTGTAGTCTTCCCCATATTCCCTGGGCCTCTGGACAGCTCCCATCTGATTTCAGGAACACTGATGTGAAGTAAACATTTATGAGCTCTGCCTTTTTGTGGGGATCGACTGTGGGCTGTCCGTTCCCCCCCACCCCCAGATTCAGTAGGGGTCCCACATGGAACTTGATTTTTTTCTTGCTCTCTATGTACCTATAGAAGGACTTTTTGTTGTCCTTTATTTTGGATGCCAACTTGATCTCCATGCCTGCCTGGGCTTTCTGTGTCTTATACCTGCAGACCCTGACCATGTGATTGTACTCCTTTGGATGCTGAACCATTTTTCCATTGCTTATGCTTCATTTTTCTTTGTCAAGAGTTCCCTGATAAGTCAAGCGGGTCTCTTGGACCCTTTCCCACTTTTTGATGACCTCTTTTTGGGCAGTGAGAATTGCTCCCTTAAGGAAGCTCCATCGATTCTGAACTCCTAAGTCATCCAGTTGATGGTCGCGGAGGGCCTTTCTAACTAGACTCCTGAGCTTACCAAAGTCTGTCCTTCTGCAGTCTAGGACTTCTGTTGTACTGGCTGAGTTCCCAGCCTTTTGGTGGATGCTGAACCTAATCAGGTAATGGTCACTGTTACCCAGAGCACCTCCAATCTTCAGGCCACCTACCATGTCTTCCCCTTTGGTCAGCACTAAGTCCAGGGTGACTTTACCCCTAGTTGGTCCTTCTGCAGCCTGTCAAGAGCAGGTCATCAATAGCTGCCAGGAAGTTGGTTGACCTGCTGGAGCTGGCTGAGTGGTCTTCCCAGCAGATGTCAGGGTAGTTGAAGTCACCCAAGACAATCAGGTCTTTGGTGCTGGCTGCCTCTGTCACTTCCCTGGAGAATGCTTGATCGCTCTTGTCTTCTTGGTAGGGAGGCCTATAGTATATTCCTACTATCAGGTCCTCCTCTTCTGAGCCCCATTGTATCTTGACCCAGAGGGTCTCAGGGGACCTCACCCTTCAGTCAAACATGACTTTCTGAGAGGGGTACTGCTCTTTCACATAGAAAGCCACACCTCCTCCTTTCTTCCCAACCTGTAGAGCCTTTAGCCTTCAATGTCCACTGCCCAGTCATATGTATTGTCCCACCAGGTCTCTGTCAGCCCAGTGAGGTCGAATTCCTCGTTTGCCAGAAGAAGTGCCAGTTTGTCCTGTTTGTTGCCTATGCTTCTGGCATTCCGATAAAGACACCTGAGTTCACCCCTAGTCTTGTCAGGTTTTCTGTCCCACTTCAAGTGCCTTAGGCCACTGGTACTCATCTGTATATCCCCTACTTGAAAGTCCTCCCTTGGGTCATCTTGGCCAGAGGATGTGTACAGCAGTGAAATCTACCCTCTCACCCCCAGATATGCCTAGGTTAAAGCTCGCTTTAAAGCAAGTCATCAATTCTTGTAGAGAGTCATGGCATGTCATCTCCTCTGTAACATCCAGCCATGCAAAATAGCAGGACACTGGCATTGCTGTTTCAACAGGCAGTAGGCACAAGGTGAAATTAAGGAAAAGGGCAGCTGCATTTCATTTCAGCATCCTTGTCATGGGGCTGTCATGTCCTAGATAGTGCTGACAGGGCTGAGGTTCAGGAGGTCCCTTGCACATATAGGGTGATGCATCTAGGTTGGTGGGAAGAAAGGAGATAGTGTTTGTAACAGAATTGCCATGTATCACTTAGCTTCTCAGGTTGTTGTATGTGTTTAGCAGTTTCAAGTGCTCGATTGTGGGCTCTGCAGAAGACCACTGATCCTAAAGAGTTGTAGCCTCTTGCATCACCTCTAGAGGGGCTCTCTGCAGGAGAAAAGCAAGTCACCTTAACAAGGCAGGGTGTGTGAGGAAGCTTGGGTTGTCAGGTCCTCTCTACTGTACTTGTCCTGTGGGTAACTAGATCCCTCTGACCCCAGAGTGATCTGACTGGTACTGGCCTGCAGATCCTTACAGAAATAAATCCTCCTTCTTCCCCTGCCTGTGCAGGAGAGCCTGTTAGGCAGCTGCAGCAGGACACTCCACTATCTTGACTGCTCAGGTTTAACCATCTGGAGGAGCTGGTGCCCTTGTGTGCTGCCTTGCATCTTTGCTGTGGACAAGCATGAATAGTCTCCTGTCTCTGTGGTGTAATGTGGAGCCAGAGGCAGAGGGGGTCCCAGGGAGGCTGCAAACAATGTGGTTGTTCTATCATGGAGGATGGCCTGGGTTGGAGCCATGCTCTCTGCTCTCTCAAGGCCTGGAGGAACTCCAATTTCAGAGTGTCCCCAGTCTGCCAACTTCCACAGGCAGCCTGGCTGGGCATTGGAAATACATTGCAAAGCAGTGTCAAGGAGTCTGGGACAGGGCCCTTGTCAGTAGCTCTATTGTCTGTGTCTGCCTTGGCCCCCATGGTGCAGAGTCAAGGTATGCTTCTCTGTCTGCAGCCTGCCCTCCCAGAGGGAGTCCCAAGGGCAGCTGGCTGAGGTATGTCCAAAATCAGAGCCCTCTACGTAGGGGCTACAGTACTGAGTGCCAGAGAAATGCCAGTGCAGAGAAAAGACAATGATCCTATAAGGGATGCAGTCCTTCTGCCTGTCCTCCTCTGGTTGTGGTCGTTTGGGAAAAAATCCCAGTAGTCATTCTCCAGAGCTCCAGCCTGGTGCTGGCCCCAACTTGCACTGGGTGTCTGCACTGGAAAGTTCCTGGGACCAGGTCCAGCAGGTGAGCACAAAGTGTTCACCATGGCCAAGGGAGCAGGTTTGCTTTGTCCTGAGTCTGAGCTCTTATCTGAAGGGCACTTAAGATAGTAGAATACACACAGCTCGGCTGGATTCCTGACTGCCCTCCAGGCGTATGGCCAGGCAATGCATTGCCTTCTATCTGCAGGGTTTTTCCATTGCACTGATTTGGGCTGTGTCTTCATCACAATCATTGCAGCCTCACTTTTCTTGAACAGGTGGTCCTTCCTGGAGCTGGCCACCAATGAGAAGTACAATGACAGTCTGCAGGCCTACGCTGCGGGGTTGGCTGAAGCAGCTGTGTCCAAGCAGGTAAAGGCGTGCTGTCCTCTAGCTCTGCTGCTGCACAGCAGTTCTAATACGCAGCCCCCAGCTGAGCCTAGGTCTTACAGGAGGACAGGTGTGACATCTCTGTCCTCAGGGCCAGATCAAGACCACAAGGAGCCTCATGGGCCAGAACTGGACACAGCGGTGGTGGTAGTGGTGCAGGGGTTAACATAGCTATTGCTTACCACCTCTCCCCATTGCCTTCATGCATCCCCAGTACAGCTCCATAGCTAGGAATTTGATGGTGGGCCCCAACCCTGAATTCGCAACCCTTCTGGAGATCTGCAGGCCAGATGGACCAGGTCTGTGGGTCATCTCTGTGACCGCCCTGCTATGGATAAATTTATCTTGGCCCTTACTCTGCAGTAAAGTTATTCCTTACTAAGGAGCAGACACCACCAGCTCGTCATGTTAGCAACCCCCAGCAAGCTCTCTTATTGTACCTGGCTGGTATAGTAATGCACTGCGACAGAGGGGATTTGAATTGAGCAGACAGCTACCCAGGTATGAAATTGAGTGGACACACAATGCCTTCCAGGTAGTACCTTTTCACGCCATAAAGTTATGGCATGTTATATGAAGGGTCATTTTACCCTTGGGCCAAGTGACTTACTGCAGAGCAGGGCAGGGCGTTTTGTGTCTGCTCTATTTGTATACAACAATGTTGTGTGTCTACCCTTTTCCCCCCACCCCCATCTCTTCCACCAGTGCTCCAGGTCTGCATCAGTCCTGACTTGCACCCAGCAGATTCTCTGATCAGCCCTCTTGTTTGGGCTGTTACAGATGCACATGTCCAGAGACCTACACTCCCAAACTTGTTTTGCTTGCATCTGACTCAGTTCGGAGTTGTGTTTTTGCCTCCTCAGCTACCTCCTGCCCCCGGTCACCATCTCTCTGGATCTGCAGCCAGCTCTCTGTCTGTAGCCAGTGCCAGATACTCTGGCATTATTGAGGGGCAATAGGGACCCAGCACTTTACACCAGATTTGAGGCTAGCCTGCCCTTCCAACCCCCCATCTTGTCATTCTGTCTCCCTCCAGCTCATCTACATGCACTGGATTAACACCATGATGGGCTACTGTGGCCCCTTTAAATATCAGACGGACTACTGTGAGAAGCTGAAGAGCTACATAGAGGCCAACCTGGCTTGGATGGAAGAGCAGATGGAGAAGGGAGAGGATTCTGAGTATTGGTACCAGGTAGGAGACCCAGTACTTTCAATCTGCATGTATCAACAAGGGATGCTGAGCACTGCACAAAATGGTAGGGTTCCCTGTGAGAAGAGCATGAGTCTCAGACATCATTCCTCATCCAGGAGGCCCCAGACATGGGAAAATCAGGGAATTGATTTCTAAATACTAAATTCGTTCACTCTCCCATCTGGTCCTGAAAGGCCATGGATTGTCAAGCATAGCTCCCAACTATTTGTGGCCCTTACAGGTTTACCTGGGATTTCAAGCAAATAAGTAAACAAGTGTCTTGGCTAATTCCAGCTGAAGTGATCAGATCTGGCCTTTGTGTCTCTTTTCTCTTACAGGAAAAGTTAATCCTTTACTTCCCTTCCTAGAAACCTTCACATGCTGAGGGCTGACTGGGCAGTTTCACACACAGACAAGGTTGAATTTCAGGGCTGGAAGTGAAACTAGAGCCATCCTGACTTTGCACTGAAGCTCAGCAGCTTGCTCTGTTTTGTTGGCATGTGGCCTGCTGGTCATGATGATTCAGAAAGAGGAAAAGTCTCAGCCTGATTGCAGAGCTCAGCAGGCTTTTCTGGCTGGTGGTTCAGGGGGAGGCCCCTAGCACATGTGATCTTCAGTCACTGAGGCTAGGCACAGGTGTAACTGAACCTCTTGGAAAAGGGAGGGGGATTTGCTGCTGGAGGGTGTGTACATAAACTATTCTGATTTAACTGTTACATGTGTCATCTGCTCCTATAGCACTAAGTGAGCTGCAAATTCATTCTTGAATGAAATGAGGTTAAGGTTACAAGGGTGCTACTTCCTCTTACTGCTGCCTTTAGTAGAAGACCTAACATTAACAATAGAACATCTTATACCCATGTAATTTACTACTAGTATAACCGTTACATCTGTTCACACCCTCAGACACAATTGCCAAGAGCATCATCATATCCTTCAAAAGCCACTTGTCAGAGTAGGTTGTCCTTCCCTTTCCCATTCTGGACTCTCTTGATCTGACGTGTACTGCCTGTTGTGAGATCCTGGCCCTGTGCCCTCCCCATGGTCTGTCCCACCCCATGAAGGAGTTTTATGTGAACCTGTTCCTTCCCTCGGTAGGTGCGCCTGGCTTTGCTGCAACTCAAGGGCCTTGAGGATGGTTACTACGGACGAGTGGCCTTCCCCAGTGGACAATTCTCCATCACACCTTTTGGCTTCCTGTAAGTTCGACTGGAGAAAGATGAATCCTCTTAACCCCTTCAATTCTGAATTGTGCCAGGAACGGAGATGAGCTGGAGTCAAGGGAGAGTTCTGCCTGGTGGTGGCAGGGGGACACGGGTGTCTGGCCAGCCTGAGCCAAATAGCTGTGGCTGTCCTGGCTGCCATATGGACCTTGAGGCTGTGTCCTGTACACATGCAGGAAGGGAAGGCCATAAGCTTCAGGCATGTATTATAATCCCCATTGTGAGGGAAACTGAGGCATGAATTGGTGATGCATCTTGCTCAGCAAGGAAGTCAGCGACAGCACTGGGGGTAGAACCCAGGAGCTGAGACTCCAGGACTCCTGCTGGGTGCACTAGACATTCCCCAACCACATGTTGCTTGACATAGGGGTCGTGCTTGGAAATGGTGCCTTGTTGCTCCACCCCATGTGCCTGTGGAGTCTTCCCAAGAGAGGTTGCTGACCAGCCAGTGTGCCCTGGCTCTCATCAGGCCAGAAGCAGAGCTTCCTATGCTGCTGGCTGGTTTTGGATTGCAGAACCCTTCCTAGACACACTGCCTCTCTGTGCCCCAGTTTCCCCACTTGTCTAACAGAAGGAGGAGGAGGTCTCCCCTCAGAACTGCTGAGGTAGCATTTGTGTGGTGCCTCAGTGATGGGAAGTGCTGTGTTTAGGGGGTGGGGATCTTCCAGTTGCTGTTCAAATACTTCAGTACTGCATTCAGACTCTCTAAACCCTTTGGACCCACAGTGCATTTCTCCCCATAAGGCCCCAAGAGCCTCAGAATTGAGCCTTGGATGGTGCCACTGAGCTGTGTCACTTTGTGTCCCTGTGTGTTACTCTCCAGTGGCTGGGTCTGGTATTGCTGCCCATTGTTTTCCTCATGTGATTAGTTTAGCTCCTGGGGTTGAAGAAGGCCGGAGTCAATGGAGGCAAAAGTCAGGCATTCATTACCTGGTGCCCTATGTCAGCCTTTGCCTGAGGAGGCAGTTTTAAGCCTGTCAATAGGGCTTGCACTTTATCTGTGCTTAGATAAGAGGGCTGAGCTGTGACAGCAGGGAGTGAGTCTGGGGAGGGTTAAGATGATCCCCCTCCAGCCCTGTGCATGTGGCAGGAGTTCCCGTGTTCCTCTGAGGGCTGGGCCTGGCTGGGATAACCAGGGCAGGCTTCCCACTGAGCTAGGGAACCTGAACATGCAGCCAGTCATCCTGGGCTTTGGTGGTATTGGGTGTCTGTTTTTCTCCCTGGATCCTCAGCTTGTTCCAGTTGGGGGGTGATCTGGAAGACCTTGAATCTGCCTTGAACAAAACCACCAGTGCACGTAATCTCGGCTCTGGATCTTGCTCTGCCCTCATCAAGCTGTTGCCAGGAAACAAGGATCTCTTTGTATCCCACGACACCTGGAATTCCTACCAGTCCATGCTGCGCATCATCAAGAGATACACACTGCCCTTCCACACCTCGGCCCAGAGTGCGTACGGGATATATATGGGGAGGGCAAGAGGGGAAGGAGCCAGCTGGGGTAGGGCGAGCATGGAAGCTTCCCACATTTATAGCATATTTCTCTCCTGCTTATGCATAATGAGAGAAGGGCTCTTGCTGTTGGGTTCCACTGGGCTGACCCAGGAAGAGGGGAGATTTCAGCTCCTGCTGCCCCTCTCTCTGGATTCTGTCACCTCTGAGTGGAGTTTGCTGTATGCAGCTGAGGTCCCCTGACAGTGTCTGTCACTGGGGGAGGGGCTGAAGGGATACTGATCCCCTGCCCCTGATGGCTTCCTGTGATCTGGTCCATCAGGCAACTTTGTGGTTCCGGGGAACATCCAGGTTTTCTCATCCTATCCTGGCACCATCTTCTCAGGAGATGACTTCTACATCTTGAGCAGCGGCTTGGTGAGTAGCTGTGGTACCTCCCTCGACACAGCCCCGTTGTCCCTGACTCCTGCTGGCTGTGCATTGCCCTCCCCCATCTTGCTGCTTCAGGGTTCAGCACTAGGGTTGTGTGAAACAGCACCGTTCCGTTTCGAGGTTTCGACAGAACGGTGTTTAATTTCAAATTTCATTTACATTCGAAACCACTGTTCTGTTTTGTTTAGTCCGAACAGTGACTCTGTTTCTACGTTTTGCCCATAGGCTATAGTAGGGAAGCTCGAAACAGCCTCTCTCATCCGGCAGGCAGATCGGGGCCCCGCAATCCCGGGAGGGCTGTGGGGGATTATGATTGTGCTGGGGAAGGCAACTCAGCCTAACTGAGCTGAGTTCCCCTCCCCAGCCTGATCGTAGTGCTGGGGAGGGGAACTGAGCCCGGGCTCAGTTCCCTTCCCCTGTGCTGTGAATGGCTTCTCACAGCCTGGTGGCAGGAGGCAGGGAGAGCCAGGCTGCACTTCCTGCTTGGCTGAGCCACATAGGGCTGCAGAGCCCCTGGGAGCACAGCCCTGGTTCTTCTGTCTCCCACCGCTTGGCTGCCGGCTGCTTCGAAACTCAAAATGTTTTGAAACTTTTGAAATGTTTTGACTAGTCTCGTTTTGTTTCAAGGCTGTTTCAAAGCTCTTTTTTTTTTATTTCACTGTTTTGAGCTTGAAATGAGTCGAAACAATGTTGAAACGAAACAGTTGGTGAAATTTCGCACAGGCATATTCAGCACCAGGGTAGTGAACCAAGGGCTCTGCCTCTGCCTTGGTGTCTAGTCCAGGGTCCTGTCAGTGCAGGGTTGTATTCAGGTGTCTCCCTGCCATGTTAACTCCCATGCACCCCCAGTCTTTACATGGGAAGTGGGGAAGGGTGGATCCAGCTTGGCCTGTTCCACCCCCAAATTCCTGCTCTGTTACTGAGAGCCCAGACCTGGACTCTGGTCACTTGCCCTCTTTGCTGGCTTTGATCAGGGCCTCATTACTGTGGTTCCTGTAGGTGACTCTAGAAACCACCATTGGGAACAACAACGCTGCCTTGTGGAAGTACATCAATCCGAAAGACAGTGTCCTGGAGTGGCTACGAAATATAGTGGCCAATCGACTGGCCAGGACAGGGGCTGAGTGGTCAGCCATCTTCCAGGAGTTCAACAGTGGCACGTAAGCTGGCTCAGGCTCACTCTTTCAAACTCTCTACTTCTATGTGGGATGTCTAAGATGCTGTGTTCTATTTTGGCTGAGCAGGAAGATTTAAGCTGGCGTTGATATCAGGATTTTGTAGTAGGCACTCTATGGTGATGGCAGAATGTCATGGGTCATCGCAGAGCACATCTACACAGCAGTCAGAGGTGTGCCTACAACCCACAGGGGCATTCCCAGGCTTGTATAACGTAACCAACATGGGTACCCACAGCAGTGACAATGCACTGTACCAGCCTGCCACAGACCTTGGCATCTTACTCAGACAGTTAGCCAGTGTTGGTCCATGCTAACATGGCTTCACTGCTGTTAGCTAGATTAGAATGAGCTGTCTTGTGCTAGCTTTCCTGAAAACTCACTCTAATGGCATTCACACCTCTTGTGTCATGCCATGGCCACGTGGTATGACACAGCTATGGTAGCACAGCAGGTTGCTAAGGAACTGTGGTGCCATCTCAACATGATGTCTGTGTTGCTGTAATCAAAAAGCAAACTTAACAGGCGTGAACCAGCAGCTAGCTTGCTTGCACCATTGCCCACTGCTGGAAGGGTGTATTACTAATACTGTTATGCATATTACAGCATGATATTGAAAACTGCCATGAAGGAGGAGAAGAAAATTGTTCCCTCTTGCCAGAGAAGGCAGGATATGAGGCAGTGGATTTCAGCTGAAGCCAAAGAGATTCAGCTCAAATTTCAGGAAAAACTCCCTGACCATAAGGGCAGTAATATCAGTGCAACAAGCTGCCGGCAGTGGAGGTTTTCAAGAAGAGGCTGGATTAGCATGGGATGGTTTAGGAATAACACCTTCTGCACTTGTGCTAGTGATTGCATTAGGTAAACACAGGTTCCTTCCACCCCATGATACTCTGAATAGCCAAGGCAATGGGTAGGGGAAAGTTGTAGACTAGTTATGTCTGTTGCTGAGGGAGACTGTCCTCTCCTGGAGATGATCAGGGCTTGTGTTTTGGAGTGGAAGGACCTGAATTCAGTCCCCGTCATTGCCATGCAGCTCTGAGATTTGTGGTGCAGTAAGGTATAGAGACACTTGGGAGGTCCTTTGTAGCTATGGGTGTACCACTAGAACAGCATTCATTGTGTTTGCCACAGAGCAGTCAGCCTTGCTCTCAGAGCAGCCTGCAGTTTCTGATTTCTCTGCAGCTGTAAAACCAGTGGCCAGTGATGCATCAGGTTGATGAAATGGTGGGGAAGAAATGGGTGGGAGGGCAGAAACGAGAGCAGGGGAGGGAAACCTTGTGACACTTCAGTGGAGCTTAGCTGGTTCTTGGTTACAATGTCTCTCAGTCTGTGGCAGCAGCCTGAGAGTTGTCTGTTGCAGCTCAGATGAGATCCTCCAAACCGCATTGCTGTTCTTCATGGTATGCCCGCAGTCTGCACTGCAGAGAAGCTAGTTGCCCTGAGTAGCCACGTAGAAGGACTGTTGCTAACAAATGCTGTGGTTGAAGGACACTGATCTTGGGGTGCGACCTCTCTGCTCCTTTGCCCAGGTACAACAACCAGTGGATGATTGTGGACTATAATGCTTTCCTCCCAGGCAAGGCCAGCATCCAGCAGGGGGTGCTGACGGTGCTGGAGCAGATCCCGTAAGTGATTTTTCTTTTTCAAACCCCCCATCTAGCTGTAGCAAGCTGTGGGCAGGATGCTACAAAATCACTCCGATCCCTGCCTGACCCTGGGCATTAATGAAGTAGTGCCTGGGCTGTTACAGCTCCTTCCCCTGTGTGGAGGTTCTCCCTTCTGTGTTCAGCCCAGCCTTAACTTTCTGAGACTTTCGCTGTTGTTCCAAGACAGAGCTGCATTTCCCATCTCCCATGCCAGAGATGTTGCTGAGATGTGGAGAAGATAGGGGCTCCTGATTAAGGAGAAGTGGCTGCTCTGGCTGACTGGCTGACTTCCCCAAAGACCGCCTGTTCTTCCTCTCCAGCTGGGTGTTGGCTCCATTTGGCCATTCTAGGCCCTGATCCAGAGATGACTGTAGTGGGGTGTGGGGGCTGGGGCAAATCAGCCTATGCAAGGCCCCTTTAACAGTGTGAGGGGCAGGACCATGGTCACTCTGCCTGGCTTCTGCCTGGCTCCATGGGGCTCCCAAAGCACAGGGCCTGGGGCAGTCGCCCTGTTTCCCTCCTCCCCACCCCACCAAAGGATGGCCCTGCCCTGATCAGACCCAGGAGAGCTGAGAGGACAGCAGGCTGCTGGGGATGGCTGTTGGCTGTTTGTAACTGTGGCAGCTTTATACCTGGAGCAGGCTCTGGACTCCCCCAGTTAGACTGACAGGGTCCTTTTTTATTCAGGACTTTTGAGTATCTTGAGAGGGGAAGGGGCACTCCTGCTTTCCCTGCATGACAGCCACTTCCCAATGTGTTCTGGCCTGTCTCATGCCAAACCTTCTTCTCTCCATCTCAGGGGTCTGGTGATTGCAGCTGACAAGACAGAATTGCTGTACCAGCAGGGATACTGGGCCAGCTACAATGTGCCGTAAGAACATGCTTCTCCCTCCATTCATCCCACCCTCCCTGGCTTAGGGAGCCTTGGCTACAGGAGTCAGCGGGTGAATAGGCCCCCTTGTCTCTGCTGCCCTTACCCCTGGTGCCCTTAGTTGGGCACTGCTCTGACTGGTCTAAAGCCATTGAAGTTAATAGGATTATGGGGCTTAAGAATAAGATTCACCTTGCCCTCTCTCATCCTTGCCCCATGCGAGCAGGGGCTGGCATTCCTATGGCTGCAAAAATGGCCCCTTGTGTGTCTCTGACTGGTTCCAACTGGGAGCAGCCATAGCCGAGCTCATCTCTTAAGATGGACCTCTCTTCCCCTCAACTGTCATTGTCTGTGAACATGGAGGGGGCCTGTGAGGATGTGGGTTGTCCTGAGAGGCTGGAAGCAGGCTTTACTGTCCTCTTCCATGTCAGGGAGGACCTGCCTCTTGGCTCTGATTCTGAGCTGGGGTTCCTTAAGGTGTGTGCAGGTCAGCAAGAGCCCCTGCTGTGGGCACTGATGTTGGCAGTGTCCTGCTCTCTCCCACCAGGTACTTTGAGGAGGTCTTCAATGTAAGCGGCAACCTGGAACTGGTGAAGAAATACGGTGACTGGTTCACCTATGACAAGAACCCCCGGGCCCAGATCTTCCGGCGAAACCAGACGCTTGTCCAGGACATGGACTCCATGATCCGTCTCATGAGGTGAGGGCTCCCCTGTGGGGCAGTGGCATTTCATCTGTGGAGGGCACACTACCTATAGGAAGAACGGACCTCAGTACACACACACTCCTCCCCCTTTGGCCTAGACAGCTAGGGAGGATGGGTATGCTCAGGGCAAACTAAGCAGTGGGGGAAAAATGAAGGTGCTTAGTGTTCTGCTATATGGTAGTTGCACATGCTAAGTTTGGCTAATGAGGCCTCATCACATGCTGGCCCTTCATAGCTCTGCGTTGTCTATGAAATTTATGCGTAGGCTCAGAGGAGACTTGGTGGCAGCCTATAAGTACATCAGGAGTGTACATCAGGACCCGGGAGCATGTCTGTTCACCAGGGCTCCTTTAGGGAATATTAGGTCCAGTGGTCACACACTGCTGAAAGACTATTTTAGACTGGACATAAAGAAAAACTTCTTTACTGTCTGAGTCTCCAGAGTCTGGAACAGACTCCCCCCAGAAGTGGTGCAAGAACCTACTCTGGACACAACTCAAGTTGTTTTTGGATGCTTATCTTGCTGGAGTCATCTAACCCCAGCTGATTTTCTGCCCCTTGGGCAGGGGACTGGACCCAATCTCACAAGGTCCCCTCCAGCCCTAATGTCTATGAAATATATGAAACTAAAAATATTTTGAGATTCTTGGAGCTGAGAGGCTTTTATGAAGTGATGTGTTGTGATGTCATAGTGATAATCTTGTCTTGATATTCAGGGGTGATGCAGTATTGCAAAATCCCAATACTCTGTTCCTTTAAAGGAGGCAGGGGGAGCCCTTCCCTGTGTGTTGTAAGTAATGTCCAGAAAGAAAAATGCTATGTGAGAACTGGGCTCCATGAGCAGGATTTGGCTCTTTATCCCAAGCAGTAAGCACCTTTATGGTCAGGGATGTTCAGATGCTGGTAGCTTATTTCCAGTCTGTACAAGGGCAGGTTCTTTGTTCATCACCCCAAGGCTGATACCACTCACCTAAGTCCCAACTGCAGTTCTACCTGTAGGGCCTCCTGCTTCCTGTGTTAAGTTAACCATCCTGCCTGATCTCCTAGTGAGTGAGGATGCATGTTAGACCCCTTATTTATAGAGCTGCCTGCCCAGGGCGATGAGACCCAGTTCAACAACTCCCTTAAGGTAATGAGTCTGTCTATTGACTTCAGATCAGTCCAGTAACTCCAACTCCGTCCTGTCCCAGTGGCTTCTTGTTCCCTTGCCCTGTGAGCCAGTGAGCCCCCTGCCTACCCTGTTGTTGGGAGAATATGTCTGCTGCTGTAGGACACAGCTCCCCTTTGCTACCCAGGATCAGCATCTTTGTATCTCCTCTGCCCCAGGTTCAATAACTTCCTGAAGGACCCGCTGTCCCGCTGCCGGGGCTGTGACCCCCCTCAGAATGCTGAGAACTCCATTGCTGCCAGGTCAGACCTGAACCCGGCCAATGGGACCTACCCCTTTGCTGCACTGCGCCAGAGGTCACACGGGGGCACTGACATGAAGGTGAGGACAAGCATGTGGTCCCCATGGTGCTTGGCACTTCTGCAGATCCAGAGCATCAGGAGATCAAGTTGGGTTCCTCCGTGCTGGAAGGGGATGTTTTAAGGGGCTGCTCTGGGTTTAGTGGTTGCGTGCTTCTGCAATGAAAGGCATCTTGGTCATGGATCTCCAGGCTGTTGGGTATGGTAGAGCTTGCATATAATTCCATGTCTTGCTACAGCGGAGATTGGGCCACATGGAGCACATTCTCAATGACTGCTCAACATGCATCAAAGCCTGGCAGTCAGGTAGTGGGACCAGGTTAGCCCAGCCCTGAGTGTGTGCCAGGAGGCAGGTTTGAGATGGAGCATCTGCAGGTGGCTAAAAGGGTTCAGGGTCAGGCTAATCCAGTCGCATTGCCTGTCCTCAGGCTTTGGTGTGGGCTGCGTGGGAGCAGGTGGGTGGGATGTGCTCAGTGACAGTGCTGATGTGCTTACAAAGGACTTGTTGCAGTCTTGGTGAGAATGACTTGGAGCTCAGGTAGGAGAGCTTTGATTGTGAGGTCATAGGTTCAGTTCCTGATGTTTGATGCTTCCCCAGGGGATGTGGTACTGTTTGTGTGTATAATATAAATCATACCATGTGTGTGTGCCTCCTTGTGTTCCAAGGCATTGTTTTGGCTTGGGTGTGTCTGTCCTGCTGGCAGGATGTCTACCCTGTGGTGCTTGCCCTGACTATAGAGATGAAGCTATTGTCTTCCTGTGTTCTCTCCTTAGATCACTTCTTACAGGATGGCCAAGGACTATAGCCTGATGGCTGCCAGTGGACCCACCTGGGATGACGTTCCTCCTTTCCAATGGAGTACCTCCCCCTATAGCAGTCTGCTTCACATGGGACACCCTGACCTCTGGAAGTTCCCACCCATCAAGGTTCGGTGGGACTGAAGCAGAGGCCGATCCCCTGAGGGTCACGGCTATGTGGCTTGGGGATGGGGGTCGACACCCCACCATCTTCCCATCTGTCTTGTATGCCAAACTTTGGCCTTGCCACTGTGCTTTGGAAAGTGGGTGCGCTCCATCTCCAGCTCCTTCCCCTGGAGGAAGAAGGGAAGCATGTCCCATCTGTCTGTCTGACTCTGCAGGGGGAAGAAGATGGTATGGGGGGAGTAGGAGGGTAGCAGGATGCTGTTGAGTACAGTGCACTTACTGGATCAAACTGAGCCTTGGCTTAAGTGGATGTAGTTCTCATTGGGTGCATCTACATGTTCATTAATATGCAATAGTTACTGTGAATTTAATTTAGTACTTGCTTAATGAAGTACTAAGTAAATGCACAGTAACTTGCGCTACTGCGCAGTAGTGCCAGTGCATGTTTTTTGTGATGCTTACTGTGCAGTAGCCTAATAACACTGCACAGTAGCATATTAACATGGTTTTTGACTAGCACACTGCTGTACAGTGTTATTAGGCTACTGCACAGTAAGCAACTCATGTAGGCATGCCCGGTGTAACCAATGCTTTTGCTTCTTACTGAAGCTGTGGCTTGGACTGTCCCGAGGTGCGTACCTCGGTTTTCTTCTGCAGCATTATTTTACCTTGCAAACCAGCTTCTCCTTTCCTCCAGAAATGTGGCACTGCTCTTTTCCAGGCAGGTCCAGCTTCCCATTGTGCCCTCCCTCCCCTGCTCTGAAGGTGTTCTGTCAGTGCTGCTTCCTTTATACCCCTGCTTTGGAAGCTGGTGCCCAAAGTCCAGAGCTGGCACCAAATCCCAGAAGGAGGCTGGCAGCCTCAGGAGGAGCTGCATGCTGTGGTGGAGCTGTGCTCTCAGGGGCTTCTGCACCTCTATTGGTGCCAGGAAGTGACAGGTCTGGGGCATAAACTCTTGGAGTGACCCATAGGAAGGAGTATGTCCATTCTTTGGACCCATTACAGACACCCTTTGTAATTTACCCCCTCTTGAATGTAAACTCCAAAGCAACTGGTGGGGGCAACTGGAGATCTGCAGCCCTTAGTCTTCCATGATGGGGTTTTGGGTTGCACCAGCCTAACCATGTCTCTGGGGTGCCAAGGCAGATTGCTCTTCCTGGGTGGAATTGTGCGTGGCATGTTACATCCCTTCCCTTCACTCCATTTGCACTGGGCTTGGAAACTGCCTTGAGAAACAAGCGGGCTGTGTGGGAAAGGAGTCTTATCACTCTTGTTTTGTTTTGGCTGCTGTCTGACATGCCTGGGGCCACATCCCCCAGGCTGCTGCTGTGCTTGCTGCATCCTCCACTGGTCCAAAAGGTGAGGCCTTAAGGGGATTGGGGTGTAGGGCAGGGAGGGAATCCAATAGGATAATGTAGAGGGGTTCCACTGAGGAGTCCCCAGACCCTGAGATTTCTTCCTACCCTTGCTCTGCTTGCAGCTCTTATTTCCCTGGGATTGGATTCCAGTTGTGTGGGGAGGACATACCTGGGGCAGGTGACTTTGCACGTTCAAGGGAAACGGGGCATGGCTATTCCCCAGGCCGGCTGGGTTAAAAGTGTTCCCCTTTAAGAAGGTTGGGGGGGATAGGGGGGGTTCATTGAGCAAGCCCCTCACTGGAGTAGGACTTGGGCACTGGCAGGGGCTGGTCCTGGAGGATCGCTTGCCTCTTTGGATGAGCTGTGGCTGGCTCCAGATTGGCCTGGTGAATGTATTTCTGCGACTGACTGCAAGGCCAGGCTTTGTGTAATCAATGCAAGGGAAGGCGTTCCTGTCTTGTGTGATCAGGAATCAAAGGAGCTGAATGTTTGATTAATAAAAATAGACTTGACTTGTCTCTTTCTTGTCTCTGCTCTTAGAGAAGGGGGTTTGCTTCATGCCTTCCATGGGGACCTGGAGATTTGGAAGCTGCAAGGGGCTGTTAGGATCTGGCCCCAAATTGAGGTAGTGGTTTCATCCAGTGACTTGTTTCAGGCCCATCACTGAGGTTGAGCAAGTGCATGTCTCAGATTTCATAGACATTAGGGGCTGGAAGGGACCTCAAGAGATCATCGGGTCCAGCCCCCCCGCCATAGGCGGGAAGTCAGCTGGGATAAAATGACCCCAGCAAGAAATATATCCACCTGTTTTTTGAAGGAGTCCAGAGTGGGTGCTTGCACCATCTTCGGGGGGGAGTTTGTTCCAGACCCTGGACACAAACACCATAAAAAACCTTTTTCTTATATCCAGTCTAAATCGGCCTTCCTGGAGTTTATGGCTGTTAGATCTTGTTATCCCTTGTGGAGCTCTGGTGAACAGTTCTTCCAGGTCCTGATGTACCCCTCTTATGTAATTGTAGGTTGCTACCAAGTCCCCTCTGAGCCTTCTTTTCTCAGACTGAAGAGTCCCAAGTCCCTCAGCCTCTCCTCGTATGGCCTTCCCTCCAGGCCTTGGATCATACGAGTGGCTCTCCTCTGGACTCTCAAGCTTCTCCACATCCTTCCTGAAGTGGGGGCCCAATACTGGACGCAGTACTCCAGCTGTGGTTTCACCAGGGCCGAGTAAAGCGGGAGGATGACTTCCCTGGTTTTGCTTCAGAAGATGCACGCCAAAGTTTGGTTAGCTTTGCCAGCCACAGCATCACATTGGTGGCTCATATTCATCTTGTGGTCAATCAAGACCCCTAAGTCCTTTTCAGTTGTGGCATTAGCGAGCGTAGCACGGCCGAGCCTGTAAGAATGCTGAGGGTTCTCCCCACCGAGGTGCAGCACTTTACACTTCTTGGCATTGAAGACCATCAGGTTTTGATCAGCCCACCTTGAGAGTGTGTCCAAGTTGGCCTGTATCCCCAGCCTGTCTTGCAGTGTGACCACCCTCCCCCATAATTTGGTATTGTCCGTGAACTTGGCGAGTTCACATCTGACTCCTGAATCCAGATCATTAATGAAGATATTAAAGAGTACTGGCCCAAGTACTGAGCCCTGAAGGACTCCACTGGTCACACTGTGCCATGTTGATTTGCTCTCTTCAATTAGTACTCTTTGGGTCAAACCCCTAGCCAGTTGCCTAGCCATCGGACCATATGATGATCAAGGCCGCAGTTCCCCAGCTTAACCATGAGGACATCATGGGGAACTAGGTCTTGGAGGATGTCCTCTTGGATCTCTCTGCAAGTATCCCAGGCTCCCTGATGGGGTCTGCAGGACCTCCTGTCCCCCCAGTTATATCCTGAGAAGCAAAAGCCTTAAAGATGCTCCTTACTATGAGCTTAATTAGGCTCAACCTCTGCTAAATTCTGCTGTTACAGCTTTCACACTTTGACACCTGTGTGAAAGTAGCATCCCCAGCTCTGCTCCAGAGCCTCTGGGCCCAGCCTGGGAAAGAGAGCTAGTTTGCAATGCATTTTGGGATAGCTGTGCACAGAGAAACCTGGGAATTTGGAAGAGTGGCCAACCCATTTTGCAGGCTCTATTAGGTGGTAGCAGATGGAGCTTGAAAGCTGATAGCTGCCTGAGAACATCCCAGAAGCAGGTCCTACGTGTGGTGGGACCCACGTGCTGTTTGTGAATTGTGTGGAGTCAGCTATTTCCTATCTTCTGCCCACCCCACCACATAGCACAGCCAAACTTGAGCCACAACCAATGTTTCTAATGGTCCTAAAGCGATTGTGCCCTCCAGAAAATCCTCTTAGCCAAGACCCTCAAGCTGGTGGTTGGGAGTAATAAGATAATTAGTTTGGGATTAATTAGTTAATGTGTGTAAAGTGCTTTAAAGGAATAAAGTTCTCACTTGGGGCTAAGTCCTGGCTGTATGGAACAGCATGGCTGCCTGAGAGGGATTCCCTTCAGAGGGGTTAAACTGTCTGCCCTTTGGTAGCCCTCCCTTGTTCTCAGATTAGGGTGCAGTGGTATAAAATGGACTGCCAGGTTTTCATCAGGCCTTCCTGTACACTGAGCCCTGTGGTGCTTGGGCAAAGCCCCTCTGAACTCCAGTCCCACCAGCAAATCCCTGCCCAATGGGTCTTTCCTAGGAGTCCTTCGACATCATTGCCATTAACTTTCTAGACTTGGTTACATAGGTGGGGTTGGGGCAGGGGAGGGGGGTGTCAAGCATGTGACCCATGGGCCCCATCTCGCCATGCAGAAGATGCACTTCTGCATCTGCCCCACAGACCTGGAAATTCTGTCTGTGAGACCAGCCTGTGCGTGGTTAATGTGGCCACCACTCATTGTGCCCCAGAATGTCCACGCTAAGTGATTGGATTATGCCTGTGGATCCTGATCACCCTGTTGCCAAATTTCTGTTGTGATCCATGTTGGGGACACCTTGCCCTGGTGGCAGGGTGTCGTGGCCCCACATTGACAGACCAGCTAAGGCAGCTGCGGGGGTTAATGCCTGAGCTGCTGTATCACATGGGAGTTAATGCTGCTGTGGCCACCTGTCCCATTGCTGAAGATGGGTTGTCTGGCCAGGAAGAAGTCCTGCAGTCCAGACCCAGCCTGCCAAGCCAAACAAGTTTGATGCTTCTGGTGACCAGACTGTACAGTGTTCCCTTTGCTAGGTAGAACTGGTACCGCTTAAGTGTGTCCTAGGCAGAGAATTAGCTGTTGGGAATAATTGGATCATTAGTATGAGATTAATTACTCAATGGAGGTAGTGTAAAGTGCTTTAAGGTACAAAGTTCTCAATAAGGGCTAAGTTCTCATAGCTGCATGGGTGAGAGAGACTTGCTTTCTGAGCAGTCAAACTCTCTGTCCTTTGGCCTAATTATCTCCCTCTGTTCTCAGATCAGGACACAGTGAAAGTTGGAAGGGCAAAAGGTTGCTATAAAAAATCCTGTAGGGCTCAGTCAAAGCCTCTCTGTACCTCCTGGCCTACCAAAGAATTCCCATCCCATAAATTGCTCTCAGGCGAGCCGTTTCATACTACTTCGTTCAAGTTTCTAGACCTAGAGACCATGACAGTACTGTATTTGTTTTAATACTGTCATTCTGCCAGAGCAGACTGGATAACAGGCTTGGAATTTGCTCTGTATCATAAGCTCTGAACTGCAAATAGCTCCTTGGAGCTTGGTCTTCTCAAAGCAATCCAATGTCAATCTCTGTGGCTGTCAGCTTGGCCAATAAAGGTAACCACCTGATAAATGCACTAGGCTTAGACATTTGTAAAACAGTTCACTTAATATAGCATGATTTCATAGATTTCTAGAGTCAGAAGGGACCTGGTAGATCATCGGGTTTGACCCCCTGCTCCAGGCAGGAAAGAGTGCTGGGGTTAGGTAACCCCAGGCAGATGCCTGTCTAATCTCCTCTTGAACATCTCCAGGGTAGGGGAAAGCACCACCTCCCTTGGAAGCCCATTCCATATTTTGGCAGCCCTCACCATAAAGAATTTCCTCCTTATGTCCAGTCTAAATCTGTTCTCCTTCAGTTTGTGGCCATTATTTCTGGTAACTCCGAGGAGCACCCTGGTAAACAGTGTGTCCCTTATTCCCTGCTGGCCCCCACAATGAGTTTGTAGGCAGCCACAAGATTGCCTCTCAGCCTTCTCTTGCAGAGGTTGAAGAGATTCAGGTCCCTCAGTCTGTCTTCATAGGATCTTATCTGCAGGCCCTCAACCATACAAGTAGCCCTCCTCTGAACCCTGTCAAGGTTATCCACTTCCCCCTTGAAGTGCGGTGCCCAAAACTGGATGCAGTTCTCCATCTGCAGCCTTACCAGTGCTGCATAGAGGGGAAGTATCACTTCCCTAGACCTGCTCATGATGCTCCTGCTGATGCAAGAAAGAGTGTGGTTAGTCTTGCTTATTACCTCATCACACTGGTGCTCATTTTTGCGTCAACCAGGACTCCGAGATCTCTTTCCACTGTTGTGGTGCTCAGAATGGTACCCCCCCCCATCTATAGGTGTGTGGGAGATTCTCCCCAGGTTGGAGCATTGGCTACAAAGAACCAACTCACAGGATCATCATAAAATGTTAGTTTATTGGACGGATGCAAAAGTCAGACCATAAACCTTGGTGCTGATCCCCTCAAACACGCACATTCATGCACACACACACACTCACAGTAGTTAGCTATGAGCACTAAACACTGGTGTCAAGATATACCTATCCCCAAGCGCTGGAGTCTGCAGTTGATGGCCAGTCAAGGCTTCTTTCAGTGCAATGTTGCTTCAGAAGGGGGTTGCTGGTGGTCCTTCTGGCTGGACAGGCGGGGTGCTGGTCAGGTCACAGAGGGCACCATTGGGGGTCATTCTTCGCTGCCTTTTATCCCTCTCTGGCAGACTTTGGTGACTCCCCAATTCTTGGGCTTACCCAATCCAGGAGTCATTGACCTCAAGGGACATCCCTCTTGGTAGCTGCTGGATGGCAGCTGTCAGCCACAGGGGTCATGTCTGCAGGAGTCCATTGATGAATTTTGATTGATTCACTGCCTTGATGAACAGAGCTCTGGAAGTGGTTGATCAGGGGGTATTTCTGCCCCAATGGTCTGTTTCCAGCACTGATTAGTTTAAAGGGTGGGGGGGGGAGGTTCTGTTCCTTTAACAATGAAGTTTATGGGAATTCCTGGCTCTTTATTGATTCTTTCCTTTCCTTGGTCTCTGATTTTGTAGGTGTTAATTGCCGCTCATTTACATGCTTATCCAGACTACCTACTGTGTTACACAATCAACCATGATTCATTCAGGGACCTGCTCCATACAGAGATTCCTGCCCTTGTTAACATTGTTACATGGTACATCTTACCTTTAAACTTAAAGTACATTTGTAAAAGCATCTACAAGCTCTATTTTCACTACAAGTACACATTATATAAAATAATAATAATATAATAAAAGAAAAAGAGAGAGGAAGGAAGAAAAGGTAGAAAAGAGAAAGCATCCCCAAAAGGGGGCAAATACTGCAAAAGGGGCTTTTGCTCTATGGAGGAGCTTCACATTTGAGGTGGGGGCAGACAAAAAGGGTTTCTTGCTACAGGAGATTCTACTCTCCCCAGAACAGGATGCAGTTCAATAGGGATAAATGCAACACCTTGCATTTATCCTTGTTGAATTGCATCCTATTCTGATCTGCCCACTTCCCCAGTCCATCCAAATCTGCCTGAACTCGCTCCCTGCCCTCCAGTGTGTTTACTATGTCCCATAGTTTAGTGTCATCTGTGAATTTGGACAAGGTGCTTTCAACACCTTCATCCAAATTGCTGATGAAGATATTAAACAGTAGTGGTCCAAGGACAGAGCCTTGGGGGACATCACTGCCCACATCCCTCCAGGGAGAAACCGCCCCATCCACCTTCACTCTCTGGGTACGTCCCATAAGCCAGTTTTTCACCCACCTTACTGTGAAAAAATCCACATCACAGCTACTTAGTTTACTCGTAAGAATTGGGTGCGACACTGTGTCAAAAGCCTTTTTAAAATCCAGGTAAATAGTATCTTCTTCCTCCCAGGCATCTAAGCACTTTGTGACCTGGTCATAAAAAGATACAAGGTTGGTCAGGCAGGATCTGCCTGCTATAAACCCATGCTGGTTGCCCCTTAACATTGTGTTACCCACTGACCCCCTGCAAATGTGATCCTTTATGATTTCTTCTAAGGCCTTGCCAAGAATAGAAGTGAGGCTAACTGGCCTATAATTACCCGGGTCCCCCTTCCTTCCCTTTTTGAAGATAGGGACCACATTAGCCCTTTTTCCAGTCCTCTGGGACCTGTCCCAAGTGCCACAAGCACTCAAACAGTTGCACCAGTAGTTCTGCTATGTCATCAGCCAATTCCTTTAGTATCCTTGGGTGAAGCTCATCGGGGCCTCCCAACTTAAATACGTCCAACCTTTCCAAGTGCCCCTTCACTAGGTCAGTGCTAACCATTGGTGGATTGATACTACTCTCACTCCAGACTAAAGACTCACTGGGAGGTGCGTTTACATCTGTGTCCAGGAAAACAGAAGCAAAGAAATTATTTAAGAGCTTCACTTTTTCCATCCTATCAGTTACGAGTTGCCCTAATCCATTCTGTAGCGGCCCTATGTTACCCTGCGCCTTCTTCCTGCTCCCTACTTAAAGGACTTCTTGTTATCCTTAATCTTGGTTGCCAACTTGAGTTCTGTATCTGTGCTGGCCTTTCTCGCTGCTTCCCTGCAAGCGCGGCCCAAGTAGGTATAGTCCTCCTTGGTGGCTGCCCCCTGCTTCCACAGCCTGTAGGCCTCTCTTTTCTTCTGAAGGCTCCCCTGGATTTCCCTGCACAGCCAAGAAGGTTGTTTGGCTCTTTTGCCTCCCTTTGCATGTAGTGGGATGTGCCTGTAGGTTCAGTCCCTTGAGGAACTCCCACCCTTCTTGGACTCCCATCTCCCAGATGTGATTACCTCAGTCCCACCCTAACCAATCTCCTGAGCTAGTTGAAGCTGGCCTTCCGGAAGTTTAGCACTAAAGCCCTAATATTTGTCTTTCCCACCTTAGGCTGGATAGTGAATCCTATCAGCTGGTAGTCACTATCCCCCAGGTTACCTTGTACCTGTAGCTCCCCCACCAAGTCCTCCCCTGTGGCCAGCACCAAGTCAAGTGAGGCATCTCCCCTAGAGGGGCTGCATACCTCCTGTGTTAGGTGCAGGTCCTGTATGGAGGTTAAGAACCTACGTGAACAGGCAGATGTTTAGTAGCAGGTAAAATTAGCACTGTTTCAGTATAGTAGATGTTAAATGGGTTAAAACCTGGCTAACCTACAGATCTTGGAAAGTGGTTCTTAACGAGGAATCATTGGATGAAGATGTTTCTAGAGGGAGCTGGCAGTGATTAGATTAGTGCTATTGGACGCTTGCATCAATGATCTGGAAGGATGTGTCAGATCACTGCTGTACAAAGCTTGCAGATAGTGCAGAGACTGGTGGGGTGGTAAGTAGTGACAAGGATGGGGGGCGTATACAGAGTTGTTTGGCTAGCCGGGTTCATTCAAACAAAATGAGTTTTGAAACAGCCAAATGCTAAGTTGCAGATCCAGGAGCAAGGTGTGCATGCCATGGCTCTAGAATGGGGACTGGGCCATGGGGAACAGGGACTTTGGAGAGGATTTGGGGGTCAACATGAGGGCCCAGTGTCATACTGTGGTGAAGAGGGCTGTGATTTTTCTCTGCATGCAGCATGGAATCTGTCATCTACATTTTAAAAAGGAAGTTGAAAAATCAGAGAGGGCAGAGCGACGAGCCAATGAAATTCAAGGGCTGAGTTGTCCTCATCCCAGAGGCCTGCCTGCCTGCCTCTCTCCCATAGTCTGGGCTCTGGCCTGGCTTGGGGGTCACTTACCACTGGCATGGAATGCAGTTCCCTCCCTGCCACTGCTGGGACTGCCCTTTGGCACTGTCATACGGGATCACGTTTCCATCAAGCTCTGCTTGGTCCCCAGAGATGGGTGGGTCCCTTCAAATCTCTGAAGTAGAGCAGAAGGGTGAATGGGGCCTGGGAGGTAAAAGACAGGGCTAAGACCAGGTTCTAGCCCCACCAGTTTGCTGGCTGCCCTCCAACAAGCCCTCAGCTTTCTGCGCCTCACCTGTGCCATCTGTGTGACAGAGCTGAAGGGCTGTGATACCAGTAGGTAGAATGCTCTATCAAGGGCCAGCAGCCTGCTGGCTAGATCTAGCCTGTCAAATGACTGTATCCCGCCCCTGAAGCAAAGACCTTGGTGACAACACAGCAGTGGGGAAGTGGCAGCAGCAGTGTCTGCCAGATCAGAAGTGGTGCTAGATCTAGTTTTTTGGATGCCACAGTAACACAGGGGGGCTTGATTTGCAGAACTACTGAGCGCTCTTAGCTATGGCCAATGTCCATGGGAGCTGGGCTTTGAATCTGTCAACTACTTACTAACACTAAATACTTTGGAAAATCAGGTCTAAAGCGTCTCAAGTTAGGCACCTAGACCTAATCCCTCTATGCCCCCGCTGTAGATGGGATGAGAGCACCTCACTTCACCTTGCTGGGGTGGGTGTGTGCATGTGTGTGTATGCACAGAAACTCACTGATGTTTGTGGACACTCAGTGACTGGAGCAGTGCGGTCACAGTTCGTGAGGCCCAGGAAGGTGAGGATGCTGTGGATGGTCAACCTGCAGGTGTCCTGGGGGCTTCTGGAGCACTAGGACAGCGACAGCC